TTTCCCCATCAGTCACCTCTTTCCTGACAGAAGAGTTCTTCCATGAAGCCCTTCACGGCTAATCCACCATTTCATGCAGCACGGGATGGAAAAAAGTTACGAGAAGCAGTATTTTGTACTGCTTTGATGCAAACAAAGCTGATTTCCATGTCAATTTTGTTGAATAAAAACTTCTGGGGGCAGAGACTGAATTCTTCTAGGATTTAGACCATGATAAGAGCAGTCCACTCATAAATATTCATGCCCGAGGCTCGCTAAATGAGCACTACTCACTACTTTGTTTCATTTTCATTAACTCCGTTGCTGTATTTACTGAGCTACATTCAGATCTGCTATACAAGCCAATCCGCCGCGATCACTGACAGAGCAAGGCTGCTGCGTACCCCTCTGTCAGCTGGCAAATTCTCTTCCAACTTTGACAGTAAGAAAATTTGGGCCAGTTGTTGCTGGCTGTGCGGGAGCAATGTTTCAGTGCGCCTGAAAAAACATGAATACCTTTTCATCTCTGACATTGGGGTGTGTGTCCATCTCTCCACCCTGCTTTAAGTCCACAGCACAAGACAAATGGCTGCGTTATATTTGCTGCAGGCTGGTCGGGTTGTGTTGCCTAAATCACTTTTTTTTGTGATCTTTTTTTTTGTGATTTTTTTTTTTTTTGTGATATAAATCACATTTTTTTTCAGAATCAGAGTGTGCTGTTTTATTTACCTTGGACACAAATGTGAAACTGAATCTCTCTTCAGAAATCAGATTTACTGAATATTTTGTTAGCAACATAACAAGCTGTTTCAGTGCATTACCGGCACTGAAATCGGGGCAGAACAAGGCCATGCAGACCACTATTCTGTCTCTGAGAGATATCGGGTTGCAAAGGAAGAACACAAGGAGAGGAAAGTCTGTAGAGATGCTTCCTCCTCATCTGCCAATTTGGGACTTGGTGATTATTGAGCCAGAAGTGCTATCTTTGTATGTAATTGTTTTTCAAGTTTTTCTTTCATGATTTTGTCCCATCTCCCATTGATCTAATGCGAACTTTTAATCGCCACATCCTCCCATGCCAAAGGAGTATCTACAGCTTAATTATATGTTGTGTGAAGTACCATTTTCTCTTCTTTTTGTTTCTTTTCTTAAACCTGCCACGTGCTAGTTTCATTTGGCAGCCCTAGCTCTCTTAATGGAAGACGTTTGGCAATCATTCCATCATTCCCTTTTTCCCTCCTCCGTGCCCTCGTAACGTTATGCATCTCTCCTTTAGTCTCTCACCTCTTTCCAGACTGGAGACCTGCTCTACGTATCTCATATGGAAGTTGTTCCCTGTCTTTGTTCATCCTGTTCCCTGGCCTATAAACTTTTTCCAGTGTTACATACCCTTTGGGAGGCGAAGGAACAGAGCTGTGCACTGCATTCAAGAGGCAGGTGCGCTGTCATTTTACAGAGGGTCGTGGTGATGTGATTTGTTCTCTTCTACGAAATACATTTTTATCCTCCATAACTGACGGATTCTCTAGGAAGGAAAGCTGTTTACTGCCATCCCTTGGCCATAACTAGAATGATTTGGTTCAGAATCCTTACTGCAAGTCCAGCCAAAATTCCCTGACTAAGTCCGTAAAGTAAATGTGAAGGTATCAAGGTACCACAACCATGAGAAATCTATAGGAGATGAATGCAGGATTAATCCCTCTGCATAAATGAGATCTCACTGATATGAGAGAAACTAGTCAAGTGATGCAAAGACCAGTTCTTACTAATGTTGGCAGGATTAGGCGTATCACAAGGAAAAACCCTGAGGAGCAGGAAGCGCCCTTCTCTGATCCAAAGCCCATTAAATCATCCAAGTCTTTTCACTGGTTTCTGAGAACTTTGGCATGGGTCCCAAGTTCTATACTGATTTTAATCCAAAGGTATAAGATAAAGTAATATGAGAGTAGTCTGAATAGAGGAACTGTGTATGCGAAGCCAAAGCCACAGCAAACATGAAAAAGTTAACCAGAGTTCCTTCCAGCTGCTGCATTCTTTATTGTTCTTATAAAGCGCTTTTCTATATGCCATCATTATTATATATTCTGCATATCATCAGTGCTTAGTTGCAACTGATTATTAATAAGGACAGAATACACATTACCATGTACATGGAATGTAACAGAGATAAGATACCATGTAAATATTCCAAAAATCTCAGTTTCAAATGGCAAATTTACTATGGAGAATAATGTACACTCTGTCATAATCAAGCATGCTTTAATAGCTAGACATGTCAATCACATTCAGTGGGCATGCATATAATTTACAAGGTAAGAGGCGGATAAGTCAGTGGTTTCTTTTGTAGTGTGTGTATTTTTCTTTTGACAGAAAAAAAATCTATCATTGATAGCTCAATTCAGATTATGAATAATATAAGCAAAATCTTGAAGAAACAGCATTATTCATACATTAATGTGCTCCACAAGTATATACCTACAGGATCCTCACCACATCCCAGTGGAACAGGCAGGCTTTTCTTTTAATGAGTGGGTCAAGGAACTCCCAGAAGTCAAGCAGTCTGTGCAGAGAAAAACCTGGATTAGGAGTAAGGACTTCTGGGATCGGCGTCCCCAGACCATCGCGCTTCTTTAACAGCAAAGAGATGGAGCTTCATTCCACGGCTGTAGACACCTTCAGGTTTGCCGCGTGCCCTCCCCTGGGTGGCCATCTCAAGAGCAGTACTTGTCATAAGCACTTCATGAGACACATATCAACTCTGGGTACAGCTATGATAAATCACAATGGAAAAGGAGTGGTTTCAGCCCTGAGCAGATAAACAATTTTCTGACCAATTTCTGGACAGGGGACAGGGAAAGAAGTGAAAATTTGGTGTCCTTCCTTTCATTTTAAAATTCCTCTGGCCTGCACAAAGGTGCAATGTTTGCAATACATGCAGTCACGATGGAAGAGCAGCTGGGTTCATGCTTCTTCTCCCCAACTCTCTCGGATGATGAATAATATTGCAGTGGCATGCTGGCACAGTTCAATACCAACAGCCACAACCAAGCTGTCCCTGGCTGCAGACAAGGCAGCAGGACGAGACAGTCATCTGGGCCTTGCTTGGACAAGAGCTGAAAAAAAAAAAATCCTAAACTGGCTTGCTGTGAGAGAGAGGACAGAAAGGCTGCTGAAAATCAGAGCTTTGCAAAGGATGCTAGGGAGCACTGGCAGGGAGAGCCTTCTGATTTTTCATCATGCATCATCTTCTTTTATTATTTAGGAGATGGGACCCTGTTGGAAAGGACTCTCTGGAGATGCCTTCACTAAGTGTCTCCTGAGGTATTCAGAAATTTTGCAATAGATTTTCAGAGAAATTCAGAATAAAATATGCCTCCTGCCAGCCCAAGGCAGAAATGCACAGGAACATTTTCATCTCAATACAGTGGCCAATGCTTACAAGTGAAGGCAAAATGACTGCTCTTACTTTGGATATATCTTCATTGATGGCATCTTTTTCTCTCCACAAAATGAAATCACCTTTTTATACAAACCAATTAAGCGGTCTTGCCCCAGCTTAAAAGCAATGAAGACAATTTCCATGCCAATAATAATATAGAGGGAAAAAAACAAGAAGAACTTGGGATGTTCCAGTTTTGTATCTCCAAATCCAATAGTTGTCAAGGTGATAAAGCAGAAATAAAAGGCTTCCTGAAAATCCAGCCTGGTTTCCCAGTTCGGAAGAATAGCAGCTGCACAGGAGATGTACACAAAGATAACTAACACCATTAATACAATGGGCACATCTAATTTTTCTAACTGTTTCCCTATTTTGTCAAAATTCTCAATGACTCTGGACATTGTCTTTCCCCTGGCTAGTTCAGGGCATGAACTCCATCTCTCAATGCTTTTATTTCTTGCTGGCTTGGGGTGTTCATTTTCTCTGGCAATTAACATCTCAAAAATTTCGGCATTGCGATATTTGACTGGCTTCTTTTTAACACCTGGCTGACTTTTCAACACCTCCATAATAGTCAAGGGCTCATTGATGACTGCTTTAGACTGTGCTCTGGATTTCATACATGTGGATCCAGAACAGAGTTTAGAGGCTAGAATTTTTGACTGTAGTTTTCTGAATTCATTGTAAGACTTGGATAATACAGTTGCAAGGATGTCTCCCATGTCTGTCAGGACCAAGAACATCAGGGGGATGCCAAATAAAGCGTACAACATACAGAGATATTTTCCAATCCGTGTCACAGGATAGGTATTACCATAACCTTGAACAAAATCAAAAAGAGGAAGAGGAGGGAAAAGGAGAGAGAGAGAACATCGTGATTTATTAGGTATTCACATCCTCTAAGCCTTTTATTGCTGTCAATTTTAAAAGTCAATGTTTAGTCCAGAGCGTACTGTTCTTTTTGCCTTTGCTTTGAAGCTATTAAAATTTCTGAGTCTCAAGTGCTGGTTACTAATGCAGGCAATCCTGCCTCTTCAAGCACTTGGAAGTTTGGAGTTTACCAGTTCTGCTGAATTAACTCTTCCTACCTTACCTGCACCCTATCAGCTTTTTGACTTAACTGCCTGACAACAAAAGGCCATTTAGGGAGGAGAAACAAAAGGTTTGGGCCAGCCCAAGACTGGTGTGCACCCTCTATCCTGCTGGAGACTGTTATCAGGGAGATATCCTGACCTGGGAATTGGGGTTCATAAAAATCACAGAATCATAGAATGCTTTGGGTTGGAAGGGACCTTTAGGGGTCATCTAGTCCAACGCCCTTCCAATAAGCAGGGACACCTTTAACTAGATCAGATCGCTCAGAGCCCCATCCAACCTGACCTTGAGTGTTTCCAGGGATGGGGCCTCCACTAGAGGAGACGGCAAGAGAGGTCATGGGCCCACGGGTGCCACTGCAGGGAAGTCTAGCTGAGGGCTGAGCTCAGAGAGACAACAACAGAGGCTGGGGGCAGCTGTGCACTGTGCACTGTGCACGAGGAGCTGGGGGATCACCTCCTGGCCAACCTCCCAGATCTCACAGTACAACTGAATGATTTCTGGGGATGAAACTCCCTGAGCTTTGAGAAGGTTCAGATCTGGATGACTGTCTGAATTTTGAAACTGCACTATGGATCAGATTGGGACAATGAGACCCATACCTCAAACTTCATCTCTTTGCCAAAACTACTTGTGAGGAATGGTAAGCTAATAACAGAATTTAAAATTGTCCCTAGTTCATCAGATCTAGCTCTAATGGCATATGTTGTATTGACATTGTGTTTCTACTGACTTCATAGCTTTCAGAGTCTCTTAAATGTACTCAGGAGAGCAAAGGATCAAGTGAGGAAGCATATGTTTATTACATGAGGAAATGCATATTTATTCTAGAGTACTGAAGATTATAAATATCAGTCACAACAAATAGGGAAGTACTACCGGGTGCACAGCCTTTATGATACATAAAATGGTAGCAGAAGATATGCCCTTTCCCTAAATTCAATTTGGGTATTTATATTTTCTTCCTCCAACATATCGGATATGAAACTTAAATTGTAAGTTAGTGTTTTTCCATTACAGTGGATTAACTTTTTGTATTAAATTTTTTGTATTAAATTTTAACAGCCTTTTTTCTTCTCATCCTCCCAAAAGACATAAAACATTTCTTCTCTCCCTTCAGAAACATTTTTCTTTTCTAGATGATCTGCCAGGCCAGGTACTTAGCCTGCAAGATTCTTAGCTCATATGCTGAGGTATGGTTTCCTTCATGTTCTTTGTCCATTCATGTTTGTTTTCACTAATGACTGCCATAGCCTTTGGTTTGAATCCAGCCTTGGTCCCTCCTTTGTGGTGAGGCACTGAAAAACTTTATTCTCTGTCACTTGGTCCCCACCGGCTAACTGAGAATGCTAATCCTTACTGCTGAAGCAATGGGGAAGATTAATTATTGTAATTATTGTATGGAGTGATTTTCTTTTTTTTTTTCCTCAATTTCCATGCATTAAAAATACCTAGTGCAGTTTCAAGGGTTAAAACTTATCCTGAGCTTAAATTTAGCTATCCGGAAATCTAGCCTAACTGAGCCAGCAAGGCAACCCCCACAGGCAGTGAAGAGTTGGCAGTTCAGACCACCAATCTTCAGACTGGATGCCTCGCTTCTCCTAGATAATTAAAGGTAGCAAAGTTGGCTCTAACCTGAAGTGATTTACCTGTTCCTAATACTGCAAATAACAAACCCACCACAATGGAACTAGCCACCTACTAGCAACAAATATCCCAGGCTTCCTACTGATCCCAAAACTCAGCTCAAAACCCGAGGAAGCTGTGTTAATGCTCAGCGCTCTGAAGGTCAAAAATAAGGGCAGTTTAGAAATACAGGTGTTGGGTCAGTGTGTATGGGGACATTTGTAAAGTCCTGTGTTAATGGAGATGGACAAGTATACCCAGGCAACAAAATGGTTTTTCATCAGCTTGCTGAAGTCAAAGCTTTCTGATAAAACATCCTCTGTAACAGGAAATACCAGGTCTGCGTCTCCAGTACATGGCTCTGATGACCTTGATGACTGTCTCCAAACTCAGGGACTGCAAGAAGCTGAGTTTGAACTGTCACCTAAGACATCAAGAGTCTGAGGTTCAAGCCTGTGCTGTGACATAGACAGCACACAAGGGTCTCCTACGTGCTCCAAGTGAGTATACTAACTCTCACACTATTCCTTGTATAGGATGAACTCTTTTTTTAAGGTTCGGTTTTTCTTTTGCATTAATATGCATGCTGGGATCTTGAGTGTATCCTAATGCAGTGGAGAAATGTCTCTGCAGTTCGATACAATGCTGTGGCACTATTTCCCATCCAGCTTTGATTCAGACAAATTTAGATAGTGTCTGTATTTGCCAACATTTGAGAAAAATTAGTGAAAGGATAAAAGTAGCTTTGGAAGTGAGCATGAGGAGTTGCATTTAGCAATGTAGGGGAAGCCAAAATCAGAAGAAATGTTTCTATTTGATCTAGGCCCTCCTTTGAAATATGATGTCAGAATGAAAGATATCAGAGGTGTGACTTAAACATTGCCATGTGCCGTTAACCCAGAGAAGTGTGAACAGCAGCAGCATGGTTAATTATAGAGCCATAGATTTACAAAGCTGAGTTAGACATAAATAACAGGAAAGCAATTGAAAACCAATATATGCATAATGAATTACCTCTTCCAGTGAAGAAAACGTTGCCCAACATAACACACAGCAGTGGGAAGGAGAAGGGTACTGAAAAATTGAGCTTTCTTTTTTCTTTAATAGAATAGGTTCGTGTACATGTCATGTATGAGTACATGTTATAGTATGCATGTATTGATGCAGCTAATTAGTGTGTACCATCGCTAGTTACTGAATTCTCACTTGCTTCTGTGACTCAGCTACATCTCTGCAATCTGTGTTTGCACAACCCCTTGAAGACTCATCATCAATACTTAGGAGAAAAATTCAAGGGGATTTGGTTTTTGGGTTTGTTTGGTTGGGTTTTTTTAATCCCCTGGAAGAAATACATTAGAGAAAGTGGCAATAGCAATTGATTCTGCAGGGGATTACCTCTGAACTTACCCACAGTTGTGAATACTGTGCAGCAGAAAAAGAGAGACCCAAAGAAAGTCCATATATCTTTCGGATTGACAAACCAGTCTCGTTCAGCTGTGTTGAGCAGTGCATGGATTTTCTCCTTAAATATCTCCTCATTTTCTGTCATGTTATCTGTTACAGTAACAACAGGAGATATGGTGAATATTTGCAGACCACCGCTCAGGGAGAAGCCAATCTGTTATTCCAGTGAAGTTTACTCCAGCTGAGGATTTGCTTGTACTCTTTCAGAAGATAAAAATATTAACCTCACACCCCCCTTCCCCCTCCCAAAAAAATCCCAATCATGTGGGTCCAGTGGCTTCAGTGAATAAAGAAACAAGGAACAGATAAACAAGCCGTGCTCCAACAAAGCCAAAACATGACACAAAAATAAGCATAAGGAAACAGGACAGGAAGATTGAATATTCAGCTTCCAGCTGAATGTCCTGTTTCATTTGGGACTGCCCAGGAGATTAGTCTTCTTTTGACCCGAAGACACTAGGAATGTAGGGTCATCAGTACGTGACTGATATGAACCACTTTGGTGGCACTGCCCAGAGCCCTGCTGTGAATCCCGGAGCCTTCATCCCTCATTCCTCCTTCCCATGGCTGAGCTCTGCTTGAAAGGACATTATTTACAGGGATGCTTGCCCCAGACAGCTCATCCTGTCAGTCCAGCTACCTGAGTAAGAGTCCAAGCCCGTGTACGAGCCCCAGCACAGATCCAGGAGGATTTCTACCCCTTCTCCTCCCCTCTACCCCCTCCATCAGCACCACCAGGTCTGGGGTGCAGCACTGCACCCACCTCCATCCAAGCACTCCATCACCAGAGGGCTGGTAGGGAAGCTCAGAGTTGGGAAGAGGGAGCTGGAAGAGACTTTCTGAGACAGAGGATTCAGTCCCCAGCAATCAGAGGGAAATACCATGGGAATCTCAGCTGCTCTTTAAGGACCTTAGGTAACTTGGGCAAAAGGGAGAACACAGGCACCTTAGGGAAACTCTTTTCAGGCAGGAACACAGAGACCAGGGAAGCTTGCAGTCCAAAATCACAGCTCAGGGAGACAAGCAAACAACAGCAGACATTAGCTAGGCAGAGGAAAAATCCTGTTTGCAGGTTCAGCTGTTAGCATTTTGAAGAATGTCTTCAAAAGCCAAAAATCTCATTCAAAATGCAAGAGAATGAGTAACTACCTGTACAGTTAAGTAACTTTGAAATTCCAGTACATACCTGATAAATTTCTGGAGATGTGCCACAGGTTCTGCAGAAATTTTCTATATTCTTCACTTAAATTGACCTTCCGGTTACCTTCAATGTGGGAAAACATGAGAGCCCCAAGAAAAGCATAGATCACAAGAGACAGAATGAAGCAGGCATGAGGAAACACTGCCCAAAATATTTTTTTACATGCTGCTTTACCTCTCGGAGGCTGTGATGTTGATGCCATCCTAAGCTCACTTTTTTTTTTTAATTTTGTGGAGAAGACACAGTTTTTAGAAACAAAGATGAGGATGTAAAAGCTTTTGCATCCTAGAAAAGCTTCTCCTGTGAAAACAAGGATTGTTCTGCCTCAGGCTTTCAGATCACATGTCTTTATAAGAGAAGATTGCACTACAGTCCCAATGGAAAAGGAGCACAACTAATCAAGCCTTGAAATATTTCTCAGTCGACGATACGCCACTCTATCCCTGAATTACTATTGATCAGCCAGCGCCGTAATGCGCACAGACTACCAGCTTCTGTGGGTTTCCATTGGAGCCAACTCGTGTTTAAAGTTTCTTGTTCTGAACTACACCTTCCCATTGAGATAGTAGAAACACATCCAACTCCCAGGAGGAAAAATGCACACTGTAAGGGATGGGATGGATTTCTTTAAAGATTTTGCCCAGAAATGAACAGAGACATTTAAAATTAATCAAAAGAAGGGGTTGGCACTAATTGTTGTCACCTCTGGGCAGACTGTAGAACAATGACTTTCTCTTTCAGATGGCCTAAAGAATCTCTCTATATATACCACATAACCTTTGTAGTGGGGGTCTTTTGAATTTTAAAGGATTTTTCTCAAAAACAGTCTATTAATCTTCCTATTAATTGAAACTCCCACTGACCTTAGTAAGAAAGAACTGCAGGATTCAGTGCAAGGTTAGTGATCTTTGCAAACTATATCCAACTTTAAAAATAAACCCTTTCTTTTCATCCACCACTCTAAAACAGAGCAACGAGCAGTATCGCTGCCCTTTACAGTGTTAGTCGTGGTAGTAAGGGGAGTTGGACTTTACAGAAAGAGGTGTTAAATATTTCATCTCTAGGAGTCTTCCATTAAAAATTGAAGCAGCCTTGTGCAGCCAAGACCTACTGAGCTGTATACAAGCAACTTGTCCACACTGCAAAGAAATCCTACATGGTAACAGTGATTTCTTCTAGGTTACACTCTCAGCAAATTGGATCACAAGATATTGTATGCTCATCAATATGGAAGCCTCCACCATAGAAAAGAGGCTTTCAGGGCTAAGACAAAAATGAGCCTGTGTCCTTGCTACTTTTCTGGTTATCTGCCTCATTTACTCAGCCTTGCTTTTTGATAACAGATTTGTAAATCCTCTTACTGCAGTAGATCCTTTTTTTTTTCCCCATTGACCTGAAAAACAGGGTTGAAAACTGCTAATGGCCATAGTCAATCAAAAGCAGCAGAACTTCCTGAGATGTTGTACTTAGAGATGTTGTACTTGGGTTTTGTGTCCTTCCCAGAGGAGCAAGGGACAGAGGGAAGTCAAAGGGGCAGCTGGAAGAGTGAAGTGGCTGTAGGCAGTGGGGTGCTCCATGGGTACCACTGGGTTCTCTTGGACAGTAGAATTCATTTGGATTTCTAAAGAATCCTTGACAAAGTCCCTCTTCAAGGGTTTTGAAGGGAGTTAAACAGCTATGGCATAAGAGGAAGTCTTCAAAGGAAGAAATTAATGGTTAATAGAGAGGAAGAGAGGGAAGGAGTAAAAGGCAGAGGGAGATCACTGGCGGAGATATGCACAGGTCTGTGCTGGAGCTCTGCTGTTCCACGTGTTCATAAATGACCTGGAAAGAGGGTAAACGTTTGTTGATGGCATGAAGTTGTTTAGAGCAGTGAGACTGAGGGTGGATTGGACTTGTAGGAGGACCTGAGGATGCCTAGCAAGGAAATGGCAGATAAAAGCAATGTAGATACATGTAAAATGGGATAAACAATCCTAACTTCACATACAAAGTGATGGGCTCTGGGCAGACTGTCACCTCTCAGCAGTAAAGTCTGGGGGTACAACGTAACAATCCCACAAATACATCAGCCCAACAACTGATCATGGTGAAAAGGCAAATTGGGAAATATGAATTAAAAATAGAGTCTAAAACATTGGATGCGTATATACCACTGTACAAATGCATGGCTTGCACATACCTGGAGGAGTCAGTGTGGTTCTGGTACCCTGCTCTCAGGTAGCTGGTAAAATTTCAGGCAGCAAAAAGGATGATTAAAGTCATGGACAGCTTTCAGATGAGGAATGACTGGGTAGTGCCTTTGGCCAGGGAAAAAAAACAATAACTGAGAGCGTATATAACAGCAGTCTTCAAACCCATGGGTGGTCTGGAGAGCGCCCATGAGGGATCAACTGTTTGTAGTCTCTTCTGGGACCAGAACTGAGAACTATCAAATGAAGCAAGTAGAAACTTGCTTCAAAACAAATAAACCAGGATGGTTTCTCATGTATGTGTAAAATTTTTTGCCAAAGGATGCTGGGTTCACACACATTAAAGAAAGAGGATGGAGAGATGCTTATAAGAACAATCATTAATACTGACTACAAACCACATGGGGTTCAATAACCCCCTGAACTGAAAACAGTTTGCAGCTGGAAAAGTGAAACAGGGTACTGGGCTAAATGGGCCCTATGTCTGAGGCAGTATACTCACATTTGCGTTCTTCCAAAAAAGGTTTTCACTGCCCAGTATGGTAATGCTGACACAATTTGTCTTGCAGACTTTTTCATCTACATCTTAGGTATAAACATCTTCCCTCCAAAGTGCTTTAAAATCTTCTCAGCCTCCTCCTATACATGGTAGGACAGCAAAGCATTTAGCAATTCCCAGGAGCTTCTCAGCCATTTGCAACATCAGGCTCTGAGCTTGTCGCAATGAGAAAATTTAATAAAAATATATCCAGAAACAATTTTTACATTATTTGCTTAATCTAAACCATTTCCCACTATTGCTGTATTACATATTTGAACTCAGTTGCTTAAAAGCAAATCCCACTAACCACAAGTTATTCCAAATTCAGTTACTGGTACTTGTATTGAGAGACATTTTTGCAATACGCATTTCCTATTCACATTAATGGACAGCAAACCTGCACTTTTCCTAACTTCCATTTCTTTGATTAGGGCAATGCGAGTGCTCTGAAGGTGCTGCTTGAAAGGAAAGTTTGTGACCACAGCTGCAAGGTTTAATTAGTCCAGTACAAATACATGCCTGGTAGAATTCCTACTTTCTCTGACGTTCCTGGATTACAAAGGTTAAACCAAGAAGGTCGCTGTTTGGGCAGTGAGATGTTTTTCAATAATCAGTAAAACTCTTCCTGCATCAAGCCATCTACCACGTTGTCAGAGACCTGCTGTGTTTACCTCTCTCCATGAAACACTGTTGGATTCAGCACTGACAAATATTCAATAGCGTAACGCCTTCTCCCTTTTTTGAACAAAACCAAAGTGATTTGAAGGACAGCAAGTGCCTTATAAAAAAAAATGGCAATGGGCTAAATTGTTTGCTTTTATTTGCATCCGGCATTGATTCTGATGGGAATATTGTTTGATAAAGGACTAAGACCTCAGCCTGGCAGTGCTACATGACAATGAGAATTAAAAGCATTCAGTGCAAGACTGAATGTTGCCAAGGACCACAGAGGATTTGATCTATTGCTCTAGCAGATGCCCCGGAAAGTATTTCCAGAATGCACTAATATACCTAAGCTCCCTAAGAAAATGAGTGTCTCTGTATAAAGGCAGTATCAACCCCAAGCAAAAAAAAACCCACCACCCCAAACCAACAAAAGCCAAGTAGCATCAGTAGTTCTATTAAGAAAGCAATCTCAAGGCTGTGTAAACATTAGATTTCATGCCCAGACATAGACACCCCACCCGGTGGGGAAGGCTAGGAGGGTGTCAGTGGGGTTTCAGTAGTAGCAGCAGTGAGCACTTTCGAAGGACTCTGCCTCCCACCAACTGTGCTTACCCCTATCCCTCCCATCCATCCTCAGGCTCTTGAGACCTGTCCCCGTGGGATTTCAGCCCACAGCGGGGCCCAGAGTCGGTGCTGGCCCAAGCCCACCCCAACACAGACACATGACATTTGTGCAGAGCATAAATATCCTGCTGGATGAGCCACACCAGCTTTTCAGGCACCCTGCAATTATTTTTCTCCTCCTGACCTCAATCATATTCCCCTGGAGTACAAGTTCCCCTGATACCTCCTGTTCTTCCCACTGTCCCCTTATGCCTCACACTGCTGGGATGGAGAGAGAAATGCACTAATTGGCTGCGTAGGGTCTATTGGATACCCCAAGGGAAGGTTTAGTCTCCTTTGTATCCATCTTTAAAAGTCTCAGCTTTCGCTTGAGTCAAGTGCTTGAGCTTGTAACCTCTGGGAATATCTGAGAGCACTCAGGACTAGCATCCTGACACGGCATATAATGCTAAGTGGATTCAAAGATGTCCAGGACTCTCCCCCTGAATAGGAGCATTTCCTATTTCATTCTTTGTTCACACCACAGCCAAGCAAGTAGTCCCGTCATTTCATTTGTGAGAGGCAAACACTCTTCACATGCCCCAGGACCAGTCAAGGCTTGGGTATTAGTCTCTGTTCCTCCTCTTTGTTTAGCACGGATGAAGTCACATAGCCAGAAAACACCTCTGATGGAAGGCTTTTTCACTTGGTGGCTAAGCAGCAGGACCAGCCTTCATTCACTCAAGAGCTAACCAGCCATTCTTCATCCCCTGTCCCCCACCCCCAAATCATTGCCTGGGTAGAAAGACTTCCCTTGCCCCTCTGCTTTCACCCCTTTCCCAAACCAGAGCAATCAGCAGTAGTCTAGAAGGAGCAGAGGTGCCCCCTCAGGCACGCACCCCAAATGGGGGGAAATACTACCCCTTCTTCCTTAGGGAACTTGTAACCTCAACATCTTCTCTCTCCCAGAGCTCCATGTGTGATTGCACCCAGGAGCCAGGGGTGCAAGCATGCATGGAGGGTTTGGTTGCTGCAAAGCTCAGGCTTCCAATGCAGCAGAACTCTGTGGCAGGTGCTTCTCCCTCCCTATGCTCATTCTGCTATCATCTGAACCATGTGCTAAGCGAGAATACATTTGGGACTGGGAGGGGAAGCTGCTTCTGGACAGACAACACTCCTCCAGCCCCTTTCCAAAGGGCC